ACATTACTACTGACTTCAACATCCAGACAGGTGACCTCCCCAATACATGAGGTGTAGTGGGTTGAATGGTGACCCCCAAAAAGATATGTCCACATCCTAATCTCTGGAATCTGAGATTACCCTACGTGGCAAATGAGTGAACAGCACCTTTTATGGTTAAATATGTAATTAAGTTAAGGATCTTTTTACCACATCCTAATCTCTGGAATCTGAGATTACCCTACGTAGCAAATGAGTGAACAGTACCTTTTATGGTTAAATATGTAATTAAGGATCTTTTTGTAATTAAGTTAAGGATCTTTTTTTAAAAAAATTATTTTTGTTTATTTCAGAGAGGAAGGGAGAGGGATTGAGAGATAGAAACATCAATGAGGCGAGAGAGTCACCGATTGGCTGCCTCCTGCATGCCGCACAACCTGGGCATGTGCCCTGACTGGGAATCGAACCGTGACCTTCTGGTTCATAGGTCGATGTTCAACCACTGAGCCATGCCGGACAGACATGTTAAGGATCTTGAGAGCAAAAATTTTTCCTGGATCATCTTAGTGGGCCCAAAACACAATCGCATGTGTTGTTGTAAGATAGACGTCCAGAGAACAGAAAGAAGAGGAAGAGGCAGTATGACCAATGAGGCAGAGACTGGAGTGAGGCAGCCACCAGCCAGGGAATGCCAACAGCCACCAGGAGCTGAAGAAGGCCAAGAACGGTGTGACGGCTAATTTAATTGTCAACTTGCCTGGACTATGAGGTACCCAGATATTTGGTCAAACATTATTTTGAATGTTCCCATAAGGGTGTTTTTGGATGAGATTCAGGTATAAATCAGTAGAATAAAGCAGATTTCCCTCCCTAATATAGGTGGGCCTCATCCAATCACAGTTGAAAGCCTGAATAGAACAAAAAGGCTGGCCCTCCCCTGAGCAGGACAGAATCCCTCCTGCCTACCTTTGAAGTGGGCCACTGGCTTTTTCCTGCCTTAGGACTTGAGCTGATACACTGTCTCTTCCTGGGTCTCAAGCCTGCTGGTCTTGGGACCAAAACTACATTATCAGTTCTCCTGGTCAAAGGCCTTCAGACTCCGCCTGGAACTATACCATCAGCTGTCCAGGGTCTCCAGCGTCCCAACTCAACCTGCAGATCTTGAGACTTATCAGCCTCCACAATCACGTGAGCCAACTCCTTATAACAAATACCTTTATATTTATATATCTCCTCGTGGTTCTGTATCTCTGGAGATCACGGCTGCCCTAGACATCTTGGTTTCAAACTTGGGGCATCCAGAACTGTGAGAGAGTAAATTTGTTTTAAGCCACCAAGTTTCTGGTAGTTTCTATGGCAGCCCTAGAAAATCTGCACACTGGTCCTCACTGAACTCCTCTCCCTCAACAGCCTTCCCCCCACTCCACACTGGCCACCAGTTTCACAGTCACATCGCAGGACATTTTAATGTCACATCATCTAAAATCACAATTTTGAACACGCCACTCTCATACCAACTTCTATCCTCCAAGCTGACTCCCAGAACCCTCGCCTTCAACCCCAGTGGGACCTACACTCCACCGAGCCTACGACCTTCAATTAACCCCTTGTCTCCCTCATGGCGTCATTTCTCTCTAAACAACCTACATTCTTCGTATTTTATTCATTTCTCTGTATTTTACATTCCCACCAGCAGTGTATTAGGGTTCCTATTTCTTCACATTCTCATCAGCACTTGTCATTGTCTTTTTTTTTCTCTCTCTTTAATCCTCACCCAAGGACATTTTCATGTATTTTTAGAGAGGTATGTGCCCTGACCAGAAATCAAACCCAAGACTTTTCAGTGAAAGGGACGATGCTTTTATCAACTTAGCCACAGTAGCCAGGGCAATGTCAGTTTTGTTTTGTTTTTAATTTTAGTCATCCTTGTGGGTGTGACATGGCATTGCATTGTGGTTTTGACTAGACATTTCCCTAATGACTAATTCTGTTGAGCATCTTTTCATGTGCTTATTGGCCATTTGTACATCTTGTTTGGAAAATGTCTATTTAGATCATTTGCCCATTTTCCCTCCAGTTAATTTACTTTTTTTTTTGTGGTAAAAAATTCATGACATAAACTTGATCATCTTAACCATTTTATTTATTTATTTTTGTTGTTGTTAATCTTCACCCAAGGATATTTTTCCATTGATTTTTAGAGAGGGTGGAAGAGAGAGGGAAAGACAGAGAGAAACATCGATGTGAGAGAAACACATTGATTGGTTGCCTCCTGCAGGAGTGCCGACCAGGGCCCCAGCAGGGGAAGAGCCAGCAAGCAAGGTACATGCCCTTAACCAGAATCGAATCAAACCCGGGACCCTTCGGTCCACAGCCCGATGCTCTATTCACTGAGCAATACCAGTTAGGGCTGATCCATTTTATTCTAATCCTCATCCAAGGATATGTTTTTTAAAAATTTATTTTAGAGAGGGGGAGAGGGACATCGAAGTGAGAAAAGCATTGATTGGCTGCCTCCTGTGTGTGCCTGTGGTAAGTTTACTCACACTGTTGTGAAACAGATCTCCTGAACTTTTTCATCTTGTAAATCTGGAACTTTACACCGATTAAAGAACAATTCTTTCTTTCCCCCCTCACCCCAGCTCCTGGTAGCCACCATTCCACGGTGCCTCTGCCATGTTTACATTGGGTTACTTGGGGTTTTTGCTCTTTTTGAGTTGTAAGAGTTCCTTATAATTCTGGACACATCCCTTATCAGAGATAGGATTTGCAAATAGTTCCTCCTCTACAATGGGTTGGCTTTTTACTTTCATGACAGTAGCTTTTGAGCATCAAAGTCTTTAATTTTGATGAAGTTGAATTTATCTATTTTTCTTTTATTGCGTATGCTTTTAGTATCATGTCTAAGAAAGTGCTATATGCTCCAAGGTGACAAAGATGTTCTGTTCTAAAAGTTTTCTGGCAAAAAAACAAGTCAACAATCCTAATTGTTCCAGGTCTATAACAACACGATTTGTTCTGATTTTTTAAAGGAAATGGTTTAATATCACTAATGCCCAAATAGCTCCAGTGGACACTTATTAAAAAGAAGAAGAAAATTAAGAGAGATTGTTCAGTAAATTCAAATACTTCCTCATTTATAGCAGATTTTGAAGAAAAGGATAAGTAACTTTGTTCAAAGGTGAAGCCTGCCATCTGCTGGAGGAAAAAAGGTGAAATTTCACAGCATCCACTGAGTTCTATAACTACCTCTACTGAGGCAATCTACTAACAAACTGTACCTGTGTACTTCATGTAACCAGTTTCTCTCTCGGTGTCTCTCGCTCTCTTTCTCTGCCACAGAGTAACCAAGGGGAATTCAGTGAAAGTTCTCTTGGTAAAGTGAGGATGGGGGTAAGCAGGGTCGGATTGTGAGGCACCGGGTCCGAGAGTGGGAATAGGTTTATTCCCAGCCTCTTTGTGTATCAAGAAAGGGTTAAGAGTTATGTATATTTTACCATAATTACAAGGAAGGAAGGAAGAAAGGAAGGAAGGAAGGAAGGAAGGAAGGAAGGAAGGAAGGAAGGAAGGAAGGAAGGAAAGTGGGATTAACTGGGTCACCTTCTCTGTAGCCCTCTGCCCTCACTCACTCCTCTCCCTCCCACTCCTCTCCCAGTCAGACTGGTTGTGTTTAGAGAAGTCATGAACATGCCTGGCTCAGCCTCTTCCCCTCCCGTGTTTCTGGGATCTACAAACTCCATAGGGCACACTACCCCCAGCTCCCAGAACCGTAAGCGACGAGGCTCCACTCCCTGCTGGAAAGGCCCACGCTGGGTGGGAGTATATTGAACTCAGGGGCTACCAGCAAGTCCAACTGTTTCCTCACAATCCATTCTAAAAGTTTAAAATAACTCCTCAGAAAAATACTGGCATTTACAATGTAACAAGACTCAGAACAGGATCTTCTATCTAACAAAATTTTATGGTTAACTGTAACTGAAAAAATAATAAATTTTTTTATCTCTAACACATCATCAGATGTAGGAAGTAAAGTACACACTTGGTTGCAGTCTGTTCTTTTTAAAAAAACACACACACTAATCTCTGATATAAACTTACTTGCTTTTTCTTGGTTAGTTTTATGAAAGCTAACTAGGAAAAGAACACACACACCACTTTTTTTGTTACTTAAAGTCCAGTAGAATGACCAGGCTTAACAAGCTTGATCTTGAATTATACTAATAACCAGGTGTCTCAAAAAATGTTATATATACTTTAACAGCTGATAGTTCAATTTTGAACATGAAATGTATTTTAATAAACACTGCCTTTAAAATCATTCAAAGTGTGTGTAAATACTTTTGGGTGACACCCTATATTTTTCTATTATTTAACAAACCAACCAACCAACAAATGAAAAAGGTAAAACTCTGGAAACAAACTGAAAGAGGAAAGAAAATGTCTTGGCCCTAAGCTTGTCACATGATTTACAAGCACAACACAAAAATCAGACATCAGCCTCCACCTAAACAGTGTACTGGTACGTAAGGGACGACTTTTGAAAGTAAGGGCACCAATGTGGCAATTGTGCAATACGGTACTTTCCCAACCTTAGAGCAGCAAAACCGTAACTCCTTTATATCATGCAGCTTTCTTTGCACTATTAAATTAAATTTGCCTAAAAAAAGAACTTTAAATCTTATTTAAAGCTCACAGCATAAGCATTGAGAGAGATACCTTGTAGAATTTTAAAATAAGAAGAAACTCGCGTTTTACTTTGGAAAAGGGGCATTGCAACATTCCATTTTACTGAATTATTTCAAGTGTAATAATATCTCCTTCTCCTAAAATTTTAAAAATTCTGCTTTTAAAATCAAGTGATGAAGTACAACATATTTGCAAACCCCGTCCTGAATGTCAGTATTAAGATCTTATGACACCGAATCCTCATTTATAGGCATCTACCCCGAAATAGGCCCAAGTGCTGCTATTGATGAAACAGACGAACAGCTGAGGACACAGACTGAAAATAAAGCAATTACCCAAGAGGAATGCTCCTTCATCTGGTGCTGGTTGCTGTGAGGACCACTGGCATGACCACGCCAAAAGCAGTTTTGGCAGAGCTGGTAGTTGTGGCACTGCTGGCATCGGTACCGGAAACCCATCATGCTCTCACAGTGGCAATAGGAGCACTCCACGGGGTGGAAGACTTGTGGAGGGCGGGAAGGCAGGGACGAGAGAAGGGCAGAGGACGAGGAATGAGATAAGAGGGAGAAAAAAATCATTTTCATTTGGGGGAACAAAGTCAACACATTGGAAAACCTAATCTAATATTTTAAAAAAATGAAAACAAAATTAGAACTGAAGACTTCAAGTTGTCTCCTAGTTCATTTAACCAGCCATTTACTAGAAAAAAAGGGAACAATAAACAAAATAAAATTTTCAACCACCTCAGAAAATAGCCAATTTCTTTCTTTAAAATGCAACTCACGTTTCTCAAAATTTAGATAAATATACAAGTAAGGAGGAAATCGGAACCTTCACTCCGAAGTTTCTTTTCCAAACCTACTGGTGTTTGAAGATACATATCACCGTTGGTTGTTCGCACATTTATTTCCTTCACTAACATAAAATCCGTGAGAGCCAGGGCGTATATGATATATCACTGTTACCTGCAAATGGTATTTTACACAGCACCTTGGACTGAAGACCTGCGGATGTTTGCTGAAGGAAATACTACTACATACTTGGACACAAAAGGTAACTGGTAAAAAGTGACGCTAGACATGTTACCATAGTAGTTTTAGCGAAGAGCTCTAAGTAGCAGCAGAGAACTGAAGTCCTCGGGACCAGTGAAGGGACTGTGTTTGGAGGAGGGGAAACTCAGTGATCTGCGGCTCTTCTCTCCACCTCACTGGGCCTCGTACCTTGTGAGAACTGGCAGGCGGTGCTCAGGATTCACGGGGATCACTGGGTTCTCTTATAGCCTGAAAGTCCAGTTCCCCGAGTGGGAAGTGGACAATGCACAACTGTGTGGTATAGATTGCTAGTCATACTTTTATTTATTTTTAATTAAATTTATTGGGTGACACTGGTTAATAGGATCATATATGTTTCAAGTGTACATTTCTATGTTACTAGATCTGTATATTGACTGCACTATGTGCCACCACCCGAAGTCAAACCATCTTCTGCCAACATATTTAGGCCCCTTCCACCCCCCAGTATTTATACTTTTACTAGTAAATGTTGGTAGCATATTCGTTCCCTCTGGCAAATCAATGCTGAATGGAAGAAATGAAAGTCAACGGGAAAGAGGGTTACGGTATTCAAATCTTCATCGGAATGACTCTTTCTAGCACTGTATATACAAAGCCAATCTTATCTCAATTTTAAGAATTTTTAGTTCTGCTTCCAAAAATATATATTAAGACATTGCAGACCAGTAGTTTTATTGCTAGCTTTACCCAGTGGCCAGATAAGTTTCTATTGAACGAGTACAAAGAAAGTTTTACATAAATGTTAAAGGCACACTTTAAAATTAAATACCAATTGCATTTTGAAGTTATTTATTACATGTTCTTACAAGCTAATATCGTTTTTCAAGAATTCTCTTGATTGGCCACAAGCCTTAGAACAGAAAACACGAGAATTCTCATGATCCGTCCGCAATGTGTTAACTAGGGTATAAAGAGTCAAAAAATAAATAAATTGAGCACTGGGTAGGGAAAACAGTATAATAAGGTCACTAAAGACCAGCCTAACTGGTTTTCTCAGTGGATAGAGCGTTGGCCTGCAGACTGAAAGATCCCAGGTTCAATTCCAGTCAAGGGCACATGCCCTGGTTGTGAGCTCGGTGTGCAGTAGGAGGTGTGCAGGAGGCAGACAATCAAAGATTCTCTCTCATCATTGATGTTTCTTTCTCTTTCTCACTCTCCCTTCTCTGAAATCAATAAAAATATATTTAAAAAATAAAAGTAATTTAAAGAAAAAAGATCACTAAAGACCAAAAGAAAAGCAAAATACGAATGAGAGATATAAAGGACATACTTCCTCTAAAAAATTCAAGCTTTGGTCATCAAATAATTTCTAAGGAATCATGAAAATGCTGAGTCTGTGTTCCAAATTAAAACTGCACAACATAGCAGAGTTCTGCCAGACAACAGTCTCCCAAATCAATCTGGAGCTAACATCAGTGCAGTCAACATAATCAGTGCAGCCAATGTTTATAATTCCATATACTTTGGGGTTAATTGCACATCAATATTAAATTAGCAGATATATTCTGGTAATTTTGATTGAACATGTATGTCTATGTGATTTTTCCTCTCTTACAAACCAGTCGAAAGCCAGCCATTGCTTACATTAGTCAGTGGACTGGGTGACCAGGTGGAAAACGCTGAAAACCAGAATGAGGAAAGAACCAACGTGTGCTGGGTCAATTATAAATAAGATTAGGTTTTGGTAAAGTATTCTTTTTTGGAAGAATGCATCATGTGATAGTTATCTTCTGATATACTACACACTTGAGTTAGTAAGCCAGTATAAAAAGTGCGATTTTTGCTTAAGCAAATAAATATCTGTCCTTATGAATAGTAACCTCAATATAATTTGAGTAATAAATTTCATGAGAAGTAAAGGGCCCAACAACAACAACAAAAACACTAAAAATAGCATAATTTAATTTATTTCTCACCATAAATATTAAGATATGTAAATAAATATTGGTGTGATAGGTAATGTTTTATTTTCTATGTATTCCAATGATTTCATAATATTTCTCGGTCTCTAAAAAAATATCAATAACCACATAAGAATGTAATCAATAAATAATACAAAGTCACAATAAAATGTTCATATGAATAATAATACATCATGACAAATAAGATTTTTCTACTTGGTATAGCAGATACAAAATGATTTTATGAAAATGAACTGGCTATGAAACTACTAAAACACTTAAAGGCTCTCAAAGTAATGCCTCCAAAAGAACCAATAATACTTTAATAATTTAATAGTATAAATCTCTATCCAAAAATCCTATTAAAAATCTTAGCTGTTTTGCCATGGCTGGTGTGCTCAGTGGTTAGAGTGCTGGCCCATGCACCAGAGGATCACAGGTTGGATTCCTGGTCAAGGGTACGTACCTAGGTTGCAGGTTCCATCCCCGGCCTCAGTCGGGGCACATGTGGGAGGCAACCAATTGATGTGTCTCTCTCACACTGGTATTTCTCTCTCTCTCCCTCCCTTTCGCTCTCTAAAAAAAAATCAATGAAAAAAGTGTCTTCGGGTGAGGACTAATAATCAAACACACAAAAAGACAGCTATTTTACTCTAGTCAAGAGATTCTGGACCTTTAAAAAAATAATCCTGAATCTAAGGTACTTATAAACGAAAGCCACAGTTAAAAAAAAAAAAAAGTGCCTTGCCTGTGTGACTCAGTGGTTGAGTGTCAACCTATGAACCAAGAGGTCACGGTTCGATCCCCAGCCAGGGCACATGCCTGGGTTGCAGGCTCAATCCCCAGTGTGGGGTGTGGAGGAGGCAGCTGATCAATGATTCTCTCTCCCTCTCCCTTCCTCTCTGGAATAAAATAAATAAATAAATATTTTTTTAAAGAGTATGGATAGCAGAGAAGATAAAAAAGCACAGATGTGTGTCTCATTCTTAGGAGGGGAAAAAAGAGGCCTCTGCTTTTTAGTGCCTTTCAGCTACTGCTGTTCTCTGTGTGGAATGAGGAGAGACAGGAAGAGCCTTGAGAGAAGGTTACGTAGAAAAACCACAGCCTTCCCTTTAATATACTCAAACAACCTACACAAGGAGATAAATCGATAGCAGCAGCAGAAAAAATTACGACGTTACTAAGAGATAAGTGCCATTTCAATACCAAGTGGAACAAAGATTTAAGCCAAATTACTAGAAAGGATACTGAGAATAATTCAAGGTAAAATAAGTATTAAAGGAAAGAACTGAAGATGTGTGAAACCCAGTACTAAATTCTATCTTAGCTACTTTCCTTCAAACAATTAAAACACAGTTTTAGTTTTAGTGATTGATATTGAATATATCCAATTTTTGACCTATGACTTTTAAAAATTAAAGGAAAAGAGAAGCCATGGCTAAGCCAGGTGGACTCAAGCCAGAAACAACCCCCTGGAATCTCAGGGGAAAAGCCTGGAGTTTAAACCACAAACTTTTATGACCTGACTAGAGGCCCAGTGCACGAGATTCATGCACTGGGGGAGGGGGGCAGTCCCTCAGCCCGGCCTGCACCCTCTCCCAGTCCGGGAGCCCTCAGGGGATGCCCAACTGATGGGGAGTGGACCTAAGCCAGCAGTCGGACATCCTTAGTGTTGCCGCGGAGGCTGGAGAGGTTCCCGCCACTGCTGCTGTGCTCGCCAGCTGTGAGCCCTGTGGAAGCGCACTGACCACCAGGGGGCAGCTCCTGCATTAAGTGTCTGCCCCCCTGGTGGTCAGTGTGCGTCATAGCAACCGGTCGTTCTGCCGTTTAGTCGATTTGCATATTACCCTTTTATTATATAGGCTATTACTACTTCTTGGTATCCTATCTAAGTAATAAGACCCCCACCACTTCTTTATTTGAGAAACAGATATTCTTTTTTTGAAAGCTAAAATCACAAATTCAAATAATAGAGTGACAGCAAATGTCAATTACAATTTCAATCATAGTAGCTGAGGACATTACAAATACTCAGTTCACATACTTCCGATAGCATAGGAACGAGAGGGACAAGTTCTGCTTACCATTCTCGACATGGGCAAGCCTGTGCATGAGAGGTAGCCAGACAAGGCACTGGGGAGGAGGGTCGGCCATCATTGTGTCTAAAAACATATTTAACATGATCTTTTTCTGTGGAGAGGAGAAAAACAGATATACTTTATATTTTTCAAATACCTCTGAACTCCAAGATTAAGTTAATGTGGGGCTTTCCCAACCAAGTTAATGAATTACATGTGGAATTTAATTGCAAAATAAAATATTTTACATTACTACAGACACTGTTACACACTCCACAACACACTATATTACTCCTGTCTTCAAATGTATTTCCACATACATTATTTTATCTGAGTCTTAAAACAACTGCACAAGTTAGACAGGTGAGGTAATACTATCTGCGTTTTCCAGGTGACACAATGAAAGAACCAAACATTTAAATACCTTTTAAAGGTCCTGCCCAAATCGGACGGGAGCAGGTCTAGACCTCAGATATCCTGCCCATTAGTACTAATCCCGGTACGCAGCGTGGAAGCACCCATCGATGGGAACGGGAACTGTGGCTGAGGGGTTGTCTATGCGTTTCCAGCATTCGTTAACAGAGCCGGGCACACAGCGAGCGTTTAGTAATTGTTGAGTAAATACCAACATGAGGGGCAAACACATCATTTAACAACCTTCTCATTTACGTAAGAGCAGACGGAAGCTCGGAGTGGTGAAGTTATGTGGCCAAACCACAGAAGTAGATATAAGAAGGATGACATCAGAACTCAATATGCAAATGCCCATCACAGTACTCCCTCCATTACCCACTCCTTGGCTGGATTGCATTTTTTGGTTCTATCTTTGTTTCCCTCTTTTAAACAAATATACTGTAAGCTTCCACTGTGTGGGAGACACTGATAAAATTATGTCCCATGTGGACATAGAAAATTAGAAGACAGCCTAGAAAAAAATAGTCAGATGATGTAGATAAAACAAGTTCTCAACAATATTTCTAATGAGTGAAATTCCTCTCTATGTTCTCTAACCCACAAAACACCTTTCCCAGCTCTAAAAAGAAAGGGAAGGGAGGAAGGGCAGTGCCCTGCAACTGGTGTGAAAGTTCTGTAACGGTAACCTGGACACCGAGGCGCCCACTTCAAACTTGATTCCAAAAGAAGAGCAAAGACAAGAGGGCAAACACAGGAGAACGAGAGGTGCACAGCCCAGAAAACAGGCCTTTTCCAAGCCCTGGCCCCACCATTCAAAGTCTGGGGGTTTGGGGAGACACTGAGCATTAGGGGTGAAGCCGAAAGGCACCCAAATGTCATCTTTCCCTCCCAAGTTAACTGCGTTCTCAGTGCCACCACTTTACTTGAAGTGAAAAACAGGATATAAAAAATGTGGTGCTTCCCCATAAAACTTTACAACAGTTTAATTCAGAAAGGAAGGTAGGGGGGAAACCAAGATGGCGGCATAGGTTAACGCCGGAGTTTGCTGCCTCGAACAACCACTTCAAAAATACAACTAAAAGACGGAACAGACATCATCCAGAACCACAGGAAGGCTGGCTGAGTGGAAGTTCTACAACTAGGAGGAACCGAGAATCAGAGGAGGCGCAGTGCTGAAGTAAAATATTAAGGTGCGGAGTGCGCGCGGCGCGGGCTGGTAGCTGAGGGCGAGGTTGTCTGTTTCAATCCGGAGGGAGCCTCAGACTCTGAGCTCCAGATCTGGGCGAGTCTCTAGGGACCCAGACTCAAACGGGAGAAGCAGGACTGTCTGGCTACGGTCCCTCCGAGGTTTGCAGCCGTTGCTGGGACAGAGAGGCAGAGCCCCTGGGGACGGACTGAGAGCAGCCATAACTGCTCCCTCCTCCGCCCTGTTGATCCCGTGGGACCCGCCCCGCCCAAGCCCTGCACAGAGGCATTTGCCGGATAGCCTCAGGCAAAGGCTAGATTAGCACCTCCCTAGAGGACACAAGTTCTTCCACTGCAGACACAGCTGATTAACACAGCCAGTTGGCCTGGAGGTCAAATCCCTCTAGTATTAACTACAACAATCAAGGCTTAACTACAACAAGACTGCGCACAAAGACCACTAGGGGGTGTACCAAGAAAGCGTAAAAAATGCGGAGACAAAGAAACAGGACAAAACTATCAAGGGAGGATATTGAGTTCAGAACCACACTTTTGAGGTCTCTCAAGAGGCTTCTAGAGTCTGTCGATAAACTTGATGAGATGTACAGGAAATCTAATGAGACCCTCGATGGTGTGATAAAGGACCATCTAGAAAGTAAGCATACACTGACTGAAATAAAGAATATTATACAGACTCCCAACAGCAGACCAGAGGAGCGCAAGAATCAAGTCAAAGATTCGAAATGCGAAGAAGCGAGAAACACCCAACCGGAAAAGCAAAATGAAAAAAGAACCCAAAAATACGAAGATAGTGTAAGGAGCCTCTGGGACAGCTTCAAACGTACCAACATCAGAATTATAGGGGTACCAGAAGATGAGAGAGAGCAAGATATTGAAAACCTATTTGAAGAAATAATGACAGAAAACTTCCCCTACCTGGTGAAAGAAATAGACTTACAAGTCCAGGAAGCGCAGAGAACCCCAAACAAAAGGAATCCAAAGAGGACCACACCAAGACACATCATAATTAAAATGCCAAGAGCAAAAGACAAAGAGAGAATCTTAAAAGCAGCAAGAGAAAGAAACTCAGTTACCTACAAGGGAATACCCATACGACTGTCAGCTGATTTCTCAACAGAAACTTTGCAGGCCAGAAGGGAGTGGCAAGAAATATTCAAAGTGATGAATAGCAAGAACCTACAACCAAGATTACTTTATCCAGCAAAGCTATCATTCAGAATTGAAGGTCAGATAAAGAGCTTCACAGATAAGGAAAAGCTAAAGGAGTTCATCACCACCAAACCAGTATTATATGAAATGCTGAAAGGTATCCTTTAAGAAGAGGAAGAAGAAGAAAAAGGTAAAGATACAAATTATGAACAACAAATATGCATCTATCAACAAGTGAATCTAAGAATCAAGTGAATAAATAACCTGATGTACAGAATGAACTGGTGATTATAATAGAATCAGGGACATAGAAAGGGAACGGACTAACTATTCTTGGGGGGAAAAGGGGTGTGGGAGATGCGGGAAGAGACTGGACAAAAATCGTGCACCTATGGATGAGGACAGTGGGTGGGGAGTGAGGGCGGAGGGTGGGGTGGGAGCTGGAAGGAGGGGAGTTATGGGGGGAAAAAAGAGGAACAAATGTAATAATCTGAACAATAAAGATTTAATTAAAAAAAAAAAAAGGAAGGAAGGTAGAAAGATAAAGGTGGTTAGAGCTGACAAATATTTTGCCAGATGACTACACGACGACTTTGACTTTGACCACAGGGCAGCGCGGAGTGCGGGCCGTGCGGTGATGGTCAGGAAGACGGGCCTCGGATTTCCACCGGACCCACCACCATGCCTCCCAATGAGGGTCCCATCACCCAAACGTGTGACCACACACTGAAGTCTGTGTATCTTTTTGGCAACTGTGAGGATCTTGATTCCATTATCGGTAAATTAGAAGTCATTCTTATTGAAAACAATCTTTAAAAGAAGAAACTGATATATAGGGAAGAGGGGGAAAAAAGGTAAAGGAGATGGCAGAGCAAGAAAGAAGCTTTTGCAATAAAAACCTGAGAAATATGAAGTCGCGGGCCGCGACAGAGCCAGCAGGCCAGCACTGCCTGGGGGAGGGGGGGGGCGGGGGAAGGTTCTGAGAGCCAAGCAAGAGGGTGGTCACAGTATGAGGTCATCATCTGAAGGCCCTCTCTGTATAGCTGTGCGCTGATGGTGAGATTTGAGAAATAACTACTAAAATAAGCTAAAGATTTCCAAAGTGTTTTCCATCTCAGGCATCCAAGTCACTAATTTCTGAGGCCTCAGTGGACCCTGGGAGAACGAGTGAACAATGTTAAAGACAAAACCAGAAAGTCACTGAACTTCTGAATGGAAGTCCAGACATGGAAACGCCTGATTATAAATAGGTAAATAACTGCTACAAACCATGAAATTAAAAATGCCTGCTTCAAATTACTGGCAAGGAAGATGCTCGGAAGTTTTTTTAGCTAGTAAGAGATGGTAAGCAGATTAAGCATATCATATCGTTTATTAAAAAGGTTTAATATTTCTACATCTTCTATTTGTTAAAAATTACATGTTTACAAATCCACTTATAATCCGAATGCTTTCTCTAAAACAGTTTTGGTTTGCCTAACATGGAGTTTAATTTTTTTTTTTTTTTCATCTTCAAGATAAAAGGGAACCATTAGTTTTGCTATCTCAGAAGACCCTCATAATACGCTCCGGATCAGTTTCCCAACGTTGTCCTGAGGGAGGTCACACTGTCATTTGAAATCCTCTGCGAGTGAGGACGGAAACAGACCGGGTCCCCATGCTCTGTCTTCCATTAACCGTGTGATTTGGGGGGAAATCACTGAACATTCTGGTTTTAGTTTTCATCTCTCTATAGGGCAGTGGTTCTCGGAGTACGGTGACGGGCTCTCCTGGGGGTTTTTGGAAACACTTTTAGGAAGTCCATGAAGCCAAACTATTTCCATAATAATGCAGACATTATTACCTTTTTCAATCTCTCTCTCATGAGTGTACAGTGGGTGTTCAGAAGCAACATGGCATATCCACAATGATCTGAAAAGGCTATTAAAATGCTCCTCCCCAGGCCTGGCCTGCGTGGCTCAGCAGTTGAGTGTCGACCTATGAACCAGGAGGTCATGGTTCGATTCCTGGTCAGGGCACATGCCCAGGTTGTGGGCTCACGATCCCCAGTGTGGGGCGTGCAGGAGGCAGCCGATCAATGATTCTCTCTCATCATTGATGTTTCTCTCTCCCCCCCCGCCCACTCCCTTCCTCTTTGAAATAAAAAAAAAAAAATGTATTTAAAAAAATATTCCTCCCCTTTCCAACTACATATCTGTGTGAGGCCAGATTTTCTTTCTATATTTTAACCAAAACATCGTATCACAACAGACTGAATGGATAAGCAGATAGGAGATACCAGCTGTCTTCAACTGAGCAAATCTGAGATTTGCAAAAATATAAATCAATGACATTCTCATTAAA